TATAGGGATGATCTCAAGGCTTGTAAAATTTAGGGTCATCTGCCCCTGCATTCAATAGCTTCACACCCCTACACTTTCCTAAAATTAGGCCTTTCTTTTGCCAGACTCTAGGTTGTTCCCTTTCTTCCCATCAGATTCGCCTCTCTCGAGCAGCATCCCACCTCCTTAATTTAATTCTACTCTATTGTGGCCTAGAAACTAGATGAAAACAATTGCTGAACTCTGTCCCAATGAAAACCTAAGAAAATTCTGGGGCATGGGCCAGGCGTGGTAGCTCATGCCTGTAATCTCAGCAATTTGGGAGGCTGAGGCAGGCGGATCACCTGAGGTCAGGAGTTCAAGACCAGCCTGGCCAACATGATGAAACCCTGTCTTTAAAAAATAAATAAATAAATAAATAATTAAAAAAAGGAAAATTCTGGGACATGTTTGTTAGTTGTCCCCTGCTATGGCTTTGGGAGATTTAATGTCTCCTAAAATCTTTCTTCCTTGGTAGGACCACATAGGAATAACACACCATTCATTCATTCATTCATTCACTCGCTCACTTATTTGCTTGTTCAATGAAAAATTATTTTGGAATAATGCTCCTTTCACTATGCCAGATACTGGACATACACTGGTAACTAGGACAGACAACTATTCTTTGCATGCAAGGAGTTTAAAATTTAGTTCTACAAATGGATATTGCAAACTGAGCTTCAAAAAGTACAATGAAAGCATAGACCAGGAGAACTTTTCTACATAGATCAATTGATAATTCAAATTTCAAAAAGAAATTTAAAAAGCCCAACATTTCAAAAGGACAAATTTGCCACCAGGAAACCATAATAGTCCTATTAGAGGCATGAGTCAGAGGCTTTTCAGGGAATAAGTTGTTTCTGGCAGAGGAGGCTGGTTCTGGAAGCAGGTCCAGTCCCGTGCACGGTCTCACTCTCCAGGGCTGCAGGAAGATCTGTCTCCAATCCTCTCACACACCCCACCCATCCCTGGAGCTTCTCTTCACACTGAATCTGTACAAATCCCTTTGCTACTGGAGGAAGATATGAATATAGCTGCTGGGGGACTTGAATTTGTACCCATACCTGGTTGAGCCAGGCAGGAGAAAGGTACCATGATACCTGGCTTCTCCAAAGGGTTGCAGAAGTCAGACAAGGGGCCTCACTTTCAAGAATAAATAAAATGGGGGGATATGGAGCCCTCTCTGGACAGTTTCAAATTCAAAGAGACAGCTAAGAAAGAGAAGTGTGAAAATTTCCATGAGATGAGTATCATGGTCGCTGGTAAAAACATCAAGTTCACAATTTAAGAAAGTCTGAACCAGTATTTCTATCCTTTCCTTACAGTTCCAAATTTTGTGCCAGAAATTGAAAAGCCTTACTGTCTCCACCAGTGCACCTCCCCAAACCTCCCACTTTGTGTATGTTTGTGAAGAGATTATAAGCAGTTGGCTTTCCTAACGACTCTTGACAATAAGCAGGGCAATGGGCTAAATTACTTAAAAATGATTTAAAAAAATCTGGAAAAACATTTAACAAGCTAACTGGTGGTCCTGTTGTGTTCCAAAATGAGAGACATTCAAAACAAGGGCCTTTCTGCTTCTTATTCAAGCAGAAACTCAAGATATCAAGCCCCAAACCAGGGCCCCCGGAGCAGGGAGATGAGGTCACGGCTGACCACATGAGTGGACGTTGTCCAAGAAAACTCTTTGAAGGTATCCCTTATGGTGACTGAACAGATTGTCCCCTGAGGTTCAAGCAAACACAGATAAAAAACGCTTGGGGGGAAAAAGCCACTGGCATGGCACAGGGATGATAAACACCTGCTGATTTCAGCTACTCAATGCAGGCTTCAGGCCATTTTTCCTTAACTCAGTCCTATGTCCACCCTAAACTCCAGAACCCTCCGTTGTGAAGAGTAAGAGGCTGATGGGTGTCCGTTCAATCTGCTGGTCATGAAAATTACATGAAAGCGTCCTTCCACTTCATAAGAACCCAGGAATTAAAAATGCAAATTTAATCAGGGACTCCAGGCTCTCCACTCATCCAGAATAATTCTTCCTAAAAAGTCCCTTTCACTACCCATTGCTCAGAATCCTGCACAGTTCTCCCATGTCCAATATAAATGCTTTATAAACAGCCTTGCTGACGTAAGCTTGCTCCTGGGGACACAAGCGGTCTGTTCATTTGCAGAATGTTTCCACATTTTCCCATATATCTTGATGTCCACACCTGTGTCTGAGCACAAACTACCTTCTCTGCGAGGTGCTCATGCCCACTTGGACCTCAAGGGGAGTATGATACCGGACTTTTTCATGCAGCCCTCTCTCCCATAATTGACACTTAATTTCTGCCCAATTTTTCATAGTTATCTTCACTTCAGGGAGTGAGGAGATCCAAGTAACCCCAAGATCGCGGTGTCTGTGACCTAAAGTAAACATATGCAGAAAACTAGTTGCCCAAAACCTTGTTCGGACTCCAGCATAAGAAAGGCAGGGTATTCAAAACCAAACTTTCCCACGGAAGTCCAATCTTTGGGACATAGAGATTATTAAAGTCTCTAGGGCTGTGCAAGTGTCAGCAGTCAAGCTGATTATACCATAGAGAGAGGTGGTCTGTGAGTTTCCTTCCCTCTCCCATCCTCCCTACCTGCCTTTGAATAGTTTGCATTGAGTTGGCAGTCAAATGTCCACCTTTCTATCTGAGTCTTCTTCCATGAGCTATTCTATCCTTGCAGTATCTTTTACATCAACCTATATCCACCCATAAGCTTGTATACTTCCAGGCTTTTCCCTCTTTTTTACCATACCTGGAACATCTTTGTCCTCCTCTCCTCCTAGGAAATGTCTCACCAGCCTTTCCAATGTTCAGCTCAAATGTAACTTTTTTCTTCATCCTCTCTTTACTGCACTCTTACATAATATTAACTACTCCCTCTTCCCTATCCTCAAGCTATCTTAGTCTTACTCTGTTTTAGAACTCAACAACTGTATATGGTCAACTGTTTATATATCTACCACCCCAAGCCCCCTGGAGAGGAAGGACTGTCTAATTTATTCTTTATATCCCCAGTTCCTAGCCTTGTGCCAAGCACATAGTAGATGTTCTTAATGTATGGAATTGAATGTGAAGTGCCCAGAGGTTCTTGAAATAAGCCAGGTGCCATTCTGTTCCACATAGGTGGAAGAGGCCCAGCCTCAGGCAATATTCTGCCACTTCTGCTGCTTGCTGGAAGACCTTTTGACTCTCCCATGTCACCACCCAATTTCTTCCTTTTTATCCCAGCTCTGACATCCACTTCTGGTTCTGCTTATTCTGCAGACCCATTGCAGGCCAACTTCTCAAGTATTAGTCACCTTTTTATTTTTTTAATTTTTTTTTTTATTTTTTGAGACGGAGTTTCGCTCTTGTTACCCAGGCTGGAGTGCAATGGCGCAATCTCGGCTCACCACAACCTCCACTTCTTGGGTTCAGGCAATTCTCCTGCCTCAGCCTCCTGAGTAGCTCCGATTACAGGCATGCGCCACCATGCCCAGCTAATTTTTTGTACTTTTAGTAGAGATGGGGTTTCACCATGTTGACCAGGATGGTTTTGATCTCTTGACCTCGTGATCCACCCGCCTCGGCCTCCCAAAGTGCTGGGATTACAGGCATGAGCCACTGCGCCTCACTTTTTGACCCCTCTCTGAATAAGCCTAACTACTTGCCTGTTATCCTTGAGCCTTAGTTTCCTCGTCTGATAAAAACTACTTGTAGCACTGTTATATGGAGAAAAATAAGATGTGTACATAAAAAGTGTTTTTTTTCTGAAATATCAAACAATAATGCAAACAAAGAAATTTAAGTTCATATTTAAAGGTAAAATATATTTCTAATCCAATAATAGCTATGATGCAAAAATAACTCACACACTTTGTGTGCAAAGGAGTTGGGACTATGTTTATGTGTGGCCAAATAGATTAAGAAAAAAAATTATTACAATGTTTGTATGATTGAAAAAATATAAAAAGTTACTGGATGTTAACTAAAATGTTACCAAATATTACCAATTTTAAGAATAAGAAATGACAACCTTTCTTTACATCCTTAAGACATCTGATTATTATCTCTCTATAGACACCTCAAATCCAATATGTTCAAAAATAAACTCATTATTTCTTATCCATTCACCCCCAAACACAGTTGCTTCTATGCCTACATTCCTTTTTTGGCCAGTGCCTCTACTATCCACCAGTCCTGAAACCTGGAGGACCTACCTCTGACTCCTCACCATCCCTATTCCACCTGCCCATCCACTTGGTCGCCAAGTACCATGGAGTCTAAATGCTAAAATGCCTCTTGATTCTGTCTCCTCCTATGCAAACTTATTGCCCCACTGTCAGGTGCTCACAATTTCTCACCTGTTCCGATTCATTTGTGTATCATTAGATCTTCTGTCTACAGTGCATCCTCCGTAATGCCACTATAGAGAAGCTTCCAAAGATATGAACCTTAAAAGGCCACTTTAAAGTATTCTATGGCTCCTTAAAACTCCTTAGCATGTCATTCAAATTCTTTCATGATTTAGCCTCTGCTTACCCTTCAAGTTATACCTCTAAAAGTATTTTCTTTTTTTTGTTGTTGTTGGTTTGTTTGGTTTTTTGTTTTTTTTTTTTGGTTTTTAAAAAAAAAATTTTTTTCAAGGAGGGGAGGGAGGAGGAAATTGCCCCTCCCTCTGCCTCTAAAAATATTTTCTAATATAGAAAAGTATCTTCTAAAAGTATCTTCTAATTTAGAAAAGCATCTTCTAATATAGAAACCTTCTTGGACCTTCCCTCCCTTTTGAGCTTTCTCCCATCCATGCTGTAGCACTGTGTGCTCGCTTCAGTTAGAGCATATGTCTCAAACACTGTCATCTCAAATTAGGTATTTTCTCCACCAGACTGTACACTTTTTGCTTGTTCAATTAAAAGTTTTGCAGGAAAATATTAACTGAAATTCATCCATTGCCTCCTCTTCCAGGCAGGCAGCACGTGAGTAAAGTGAGAGGAAGTGGAAGAGAACAATGACGGGAATGGAGGAATGAAGAAGAGGTGAGTCCCAACATGGGAGAAAGAAAAGAATGGATCTTGAAGCTTTTGCTGGTGGATGAAGAAGAAAAACTCTGTACCCAGCACACGTTTGGCCACGTGACACGAGCAAAGATCAAGGAATTTAACCTTTGATATGAGTCATCTAAAACAATACAGACAGCAAGACTACCCATCACAGCCTCTGGAAAAGGCACCTGACTAGACAAGCTTTTGCCTGATGGATGTGGACTAATCCCAAAGAACAAATGTTTCATTGTGAATTATGTTTTGACCATATACCAACAGTTGACAGCATTTAAAGAGCTGCAGAGGTTTTTAAAGACTTTTTCAAATGTTCTCATCACAGAACTCTCCAAGGGCAGATATACATTTCAAAAACAACACGCTGAAGAAAACATACACATACACACACACACACACACTGGCCCAAACGTAGTAAAACGTGATCACAAAAACAATAATTCTTGGTAAATTTAACCAGTTAGATTTAATTCTTTGTTGACCTTTCTCCACACAAACATCCTACTATTGGTCTTAACATCTAACCAAGCCCCAGTTTATATAGTAAGAAATCGGATATTCTAAAATTCTATCTTCTTAGAAATCAGTCTTACATACATGAAATAGGAATTTTATCTACTTAGTAAATGTATTTTTCTCAACCAAACTTTCTGCCCTAAAAGCACCAATACCTATAGAGAACATAATATAGACTCTAAATCTAGTGTTATCATTGGCTCTGCTACCTACCACTTTAGATATATCTTGTAACTGTTTTTGTGATTGTTTTTGTGATTTGCCAACATGGGGTATAAAATAATGCTGAATCTTTTTTAAATACCCAAATTAAATAACTCTGAGCTCTACTCTTCTATTGTAAAAATGTATTGCCTCCCTCTTTGGGGTATTTCACATCCCATACTAAAAGAACCCAAAGAGGCTTCCTCTGCTGAAGGTATCAGTCCTGGTTATTATCCTCACGATGGAAGAAAACTGGAAACTATGAGGAGCTCATTCACTGAAGAATGCCAGGATCTGGTGCAGTTGCTGCTGGTAAAGTGCTTGTGGAAAGCACGTGGTTTGATAGTGAGATTCAATCTTTGGTCACTGCTGCAAGAATAGTGGTGATTTATCACACTTGTATTTGGCCACCCATCACTGAAGAAAGGGACCTGGGCACCAATTCACATCAATGCCACTGGTCAGGCAGGAGTTTCTCAAGGTGAATTATTTTCTTAAAAGAATATATGTAAAAACAACAGTCACTATACAACAAGGCACACTTTTTAGTTACCTGGCTCATTCTGAACAATCATACACACATGCTTTTCAGATATATGTCCAGAGTGCCAGGAAGGGTGCATCAGGAGGAAACTTACAGCCTCGGCCATGTCCTGAGCTCCATGCCAACTCTTTACTTGACAATCTGGCCTTGGTTCCTTTCTCTCATAGTGAACGTACACATCTGCCAGTTGACCCTCAATCTGAGCCACCTCAGTTCATCAGAGATAACCTCTTCATGTTAATCTTCAAAACAGAGGGTATTGGAGCCTCCATTCTCTTTCTTCTAGGATGCTCTTTGGCTTTTGTGCAAATTGTTCACTCTTACAACCAGACACAAATTCTAGCCAAAGAGAATGTCTCAGTCAGAATCCTGAGAGCAAAGAGATGGCATATGTGTATACTGAAGACAGTTCATAAAAGCACTATTGAAAGATGTGGCAGGGGGTGGGGAGGAAAATGCAATACCACACTAGTAACAAAGGAGGGACCTCACCCTCTGTAGGACTGAAGGGCAAGGGGACAAAGTAGATCAGTACCTAAAGAGGGTAGGCATAAGGAGAGGGCTACCTGACAGGAGCTGTGACTTACAGTGGAGAGGCAGGGACAAAACTCACCCTCCATGACCTGTTAAGAAGAGCTGTGGGAATAAACACTCCAACCTCACTCTTCTGCCTTTCTATCTCCTGCTGGATGTTTCTGTTGGCCAAATGCAACAGGATGCCAGAAGGCAGGGGGTCATAGCCTGTGCGTGTAAGTGTCCTGAGTACAGAGCAGAGTAGGAAAGATGAATACAAGTGGAGGGGGAGGGAGAGAGACTCAGCACAGAAAGCCAGAGGGGAAATGCCCCATATATTAACATTATTCACAGTGCATTTCACAAACCGGTGCCAGTCTGTGAGGTATTTGTGGCTGAACTGCCACTAGATAAGTACGGAAATACAGGATGCACATTTAGAAATCTTAATAGCAACTTAACACAGTCAGCATTCAAGTATGTGATTGCTTCATTAAATAGGAAATACAGCAGTTCAGGAGCTATTGTTTCCACGAGGAAAACTGCTTGTGGCATGAGCTAGATTCCAGAGGTGTACAAATAGGTTCATGTTGACACAAGAGATATTCTAAGGCAAGTGTGTCAACTATAACTTAAATATTTATAAAAGTCTTTTAAATTGTCAGAATTTATTTATTTTTACAACTTACTATTCTATCACTTCAGTTATTAAACAAGTAAATATATCTAAATATTCTTATTTGGATATAAATTACATATTTTTCCTTATTAGAAAAATTAAGGACTAATATTTGTATTAACATTTCCATGTCTGGTATTGGCAGAGTAGCTTGTATTGACTAACCTTTTGGTAGATCATGCTGCAAAAAAAAAAATTCTTTTTATTTTTTATTTTTTTTTAAAAAAAGATGGGGTTTCACCATGATGGCCAGGCTGGTCTTGAGCTCCTGCCCTCAGGTGATCCACCCACCTCGGCCTCCCAAAGTGCTAGGATTACAGGCGTGAGCCACAGCGCCCGGCCAAAAATTCTTAAATAATAATTTGAAGGCTTTGGAGAGCAAAAGCAGCAGAAACTGGAGGGGAGTCAGTGTTTCAAATCAGAGAACTGAATTGGATTAAATTTGTAAGCTGGGCGTGGTGGCTCATGCCTGTAATCCCAGCACTTTGGGAGGCTGAGGCAGGTGGGTCACAAGGTCAAGAGTTCAAGACCAGCCTGGCCAACATGGTGAAAACCCATCTCACTAAAAATGCAAAAATTAGCCAGATGTGGCGGTGCACACCTGTAATCCCATCTACTCAGGAGGCTGAAGCAGGAGAATTGCTTCAGCCTGGGAGGCAGAGTTTGCAGTGAGCCAAGATTGCATCACTGTACTCCAGCTCGGGCAACAGAACAATTTGTGTTTGTGTGTTTATATAGCTTTTTGTCTGACAGTTTTCCCTAGTTGACACAAGTCTAAAATAATTAAACTCAAGCAGAAAGTGCCAGTTTGTGGAAACAGAACATGGGGTTTGGAGAAAATGTCAATACATTTAATAATGGACTCACTGAAATTAACCAATATAAAAAGAAAGAGAAAAAGATTGAAAGAAGATACGCAAAACTTTAAGGACCTATAAGACAATGTCAACCAGACCAACATACATGCAGTTTGAGTTCCAGAAGAGGAGAGGAGAGAATGAGGAATAAAAAGTATTTAGAGTAATAACAATGAAGTCCCCAAAGTTTGTGAAAAACAACCTACAGATGCAAAAAGCTCAGCAATCCCCCCGCAGGATACACACAAAGAAAATCACACTTATGCATGTCATAAGCAACTGAAAGCCAGAGATGAAAAGAAAATCTTGAAAGCCAACGGAAAAAAGAGAAATATTACTAAAAGAAGACCAATAATATGAATCATGGTAGACTACTCATCAGAAACAATAGAAGTAATAACATCAATCTTACACAAACTTTAACAAAATTCTTGCCACTGTAATAAGGCGAGTAAAATAAATAAAAGGCAAAAAGCGTTTTTAAAAAAACTAAAACTTTCTCTAATCGCAGACATCATAAGTTTAAATCTTAAGGAATTTTTCTACCAAATTTCCAGTAGAACTATTAAGGTCACAGGATAAAAATTCAGTTCCAAAAGTCCAATGTATAATGTTTCCATGTACTCACAACAAACAACTAAAAATGATATATTTTATTTTATGTTATTTTATTTTTATTTTGTTAGACACAGAATTTTTGGTTTGCTTGACCTCAGGAGTTCAAGGCTGCAGTGAGCTATGCACTCGCTCTCACCTAGGCTGTAGTGCATAGTTCACTACAGCCTTGAACTCCTGAGGTGAAGCGATCCTCCTTCCTCAGCCTCTTGAGCAGCTGGGGCTATAGGCACGTACCACCATGCCCAGCTGATTTTTTAAAAAAATTTTTCATAGAGACATGCATACATGTCTATACACACACAGCACTGAGAAAGCCTTAAGCAATGACACACATGTAACAATAAGCATATCTAGTATCTAATTGTGGCTTATAGACATCATTGTTTGCCAAAAGCCAGGGCTCCATGGAGAGAAGGAATACAAGATGATCCTGAGGTATCTCATGCTGAAAAGTAAGAACATTCTTAAAGAATAAGAAAGTGTATCAAAAGAACAAAAAGGCAGCTTGAAGGAGCTCCCAGCGGTCAAATCTAGGACAACTGATAAAATCAACAGCTGTTAACTATAGTGGGTACAAATTTGATTCATGTGATCTTTGAATAATTTTCACAAAATATATCTCCACCTTACAAGGGAGAGTTCTGTAGACATCATCTTATCCATATGATCTAAGTTAATATTGCTAATATTGAGACAAATTAACATGATATGCCACCGGATTTGATATACTGAGAAAGATATATCACTTTATTCCCGCCAAAAATGCATGGCCCGAAACTAATCATACCCAAATTCAGGGACATTCTACAAAACAACTGTCTTGTTCTTTTTAAAAAAAAAAAAAAAAAGTCATGGTTAAATGAGACAGAATTTGAAGAACTGTTTCAAATTAAAGGGAACCAAAGAGACCTGGCCACTATTGCTGCATGTGATGTTGGATTAGATCATGAACCAGAGAAAAAAATATTTTTTCTCTAAGGGACCTTACTGGGACAAGAGATGAAATTTACAAAGGGACTATGGATTAGATAACAGTGTTACAGTAATGTTAAGTTTCCTGAATTTAATATCCTTATATTTAGAAAATCCGCACCAAATGATTTAGTAGAAAAGGCAAATGATGTCTTGAACTTACATTCAGATGGTTCAGAAAAACAATATTTTAAATAAATACACATATGGATATGAGACAGAAAGAGACAGAGGCAGAGAGACAGGGAAGGCAGAAAGACAGCTCCAGTATGCCCTGACCAGCTCCCATGTTGCTTACTGGAGCTCCTTGTAAAATTCTTGCAACTTTTCTGTGAATTTGAAATTGCATCAAAATAAAAACCTAAAACAAATAATTAAAATTATATAGTATTTATAAAAATATTCATTCAATGATCAACAAATTAGTGTTATTTTATTGGAGAATTTGTGAATTATTCTTTTTTTAATATATATATTTTATTGCATTATAGGTTCTGGTGTACATGTGAAGAACATGCAGGACTGTTGCATAGGTACATACACGGCAATGTGGTTTCCTGCCTCCATTGATTTTTTAAGCTAAAATTTTCTTTAAAAGTTAAAATAATGCATCTGAATTCATTAGCATATATTTTTAAAAATCATATTAATATCTGAAGATTAAGGAATAGAAGTGAAGCCGCGGTGTTGGTGGTATAGTGATTAGCATAGCTGCCTTCCAAAGAATAAAAGTGAAATAATTATAGTTGGTATATATTCATGTACTTAATCAGTTTTGTAATTCTGTATTTGTCTATAATACTACGTCACTGGTGTTTTGTGAATAATTCTTTTAATATAAAATTATTATTTTTAATTTTCTTATAAAATAGCCTGTAGTATTCTTTATAGGTGAATTTTTTATTAATAAATTAAAACTTCATGACAGCTTCAATTGACTTTTCTCTTTTGACCATGATATTTTTATGTGGAAAAACTACTTGTCTTCACAGATGTTGGGCACTGCACAGGTGGCTCTGGTCAAATAGAAGCTAGTCTCAAATCTTAACTTTTTTTTTTTTGAGACAGAGTTTCACTCTTGTTGCCCAGGTTAGAGTGCAATTGTGCAATCATGGCTCCCCGCAATCTCTGACTCCCGGGTTCAAGCAATTTGCCTGCCTCAGCCCCTCGAGTAGCTGGGATTACAGGCATGCACCACCACGTCTGGCTAATTTTGTATTTTTAGTAGAGATAGGGTTTCTCCATGTTGGCCAGGCTGGTCTCGGACTCCCAACCTCAGGTGATCTGCCCACCTCGGCCTCCCAAAGTGCTGGGATTACAGGTGTGAGCCAATGCACCTGGCCAAATCTTGACTTTTTAAATTGAGA